CCATGGGATTACAGTGTCCCTGGCACTGAGGCGCCCATGGGACCACAGTGCCCAGGACACGCAATCACAGTGGTGGACACAGTGGCATCCAGCCCATAGTACAGCCCAGTGCTGCCTGCTTTTGGGCACTGCTACCCACCCTGCCTGCCTGCACACGGTCCTGGCGCGGCACACTGAACCGGCTTTGGGGCTGCTGCATGGTGACCAAGCATCATTACCAGCTTCACTTAATTGCAGCCTAACTGCTTTAGCCACTGCCTGTGCAGAGGATGGTGCATCTTGTGCCCCAGGGCATGCCCAGAGGCTGGAATTGGGACTCCCCAGGAGCAGGGGAGAGCAGCTGAGCCCCCCACCAATGCCTGCTGCCAGATGAGCCACCTTTCTCCGCTCCTTTTGCTGGCAGTGGCAGCAGATGTCACATCTGTAAGGACCTCTTCCCGATGAGGATGTCCCCTCCGCTCCAATTCTGGGGCAAAAATCCCCTAGAACAAGAAACTGGAAAAGAGGAGGGGGCCGGTGATGGGCATCACCCCCTGGGTGCACGTCCAGAGCTTGGGGTGGGGGCAAGGGCAGGGTTTGGGGATGGGCAGGGGATGCTGAAACATGCCCCAGCCCCGCAGCCGTGGGCAGCTCCGCTCCCCGGTCCGTGGCCAGCCACGCAGGTCCTGTAGCCGGCACCAGCTTTAAATAAAACCTCCTGGGCTGCTCATTAAGCGGCGCCGGAGCCCGGGGCCGCGTCAGCTCCCATCAGCCAAGCTGTCTGTCTCCGCCAGCACCTCGCACCTGCATGGCTCTGCTGCTACTTGCAGGAGGATATTTTTAGCGCAGCTGGGTTCCAGCATCCTGCAGTCAGGGGTTCCGCCGGAACAGTGCCTCAGTTTCCCCACGGTGGGGCCGAAATGCTCCCCTGGCCTAGGTTTTGGGGTGGCTGTGCCCCCTGGCATGGGTGCCGGCCCTGCCCACGTGAGGCCAAGCAACACCATTTCGGCTACGCTGCCAAGTTGCTGTGGCAACGGGAAGGGCCCAGCACCATGCGGTTATTAGGGCTGGATCAGAAACAGGAGGTGCTGGGGGATGCTGGGCACCAGTGCTGGGGGATGCTGGGTGCCAGGGGTGCAGCTGGGGTGGCCGGCTGGGCACTACCAGCAGCTGGGATGCAGGGATGGATGGATGGATGGATGGATGGATGGATGGATGGATGGATGGATGGATGGATGGTTGGACAGGCACCCTGGGTGTTGCCCTCCTCAGCACAGGGCAGGGTGGGTGCCCAGGGCTGTGGTTGGGTGATAGATGGGTGCCAGGCCCGCTGTCCTGTGACATGGGGGGCAGCCCTGGGGGCACCCCACAAGAGCAGGGCTGTCAGTGCCCTGTGGTGGGGCGGCGCAGCGAACTGCTCATTAGCTGACGAGGCTCGCGTGGTTACTGTGACGTGTGTGAGGAGGGCCCCTGCCTTAGGCTGCAACCCCCCCCCAAATGTGCTTGCAGAGATGACAGATTTCATGCTAATACGCATTTATCCTGCCCTAATTACGCTGTGGGAGGTGAGGAGCGAGCGCCTGGCCTTTAACACCACGAGCTGGCAAGTGCCCACCCCTGCCTGCCCCTGCCTGCTGCTGCCAGCCAGGATCGGCGTTGGTGCGGCGCACACCGCCACGGCACAGGGGACAGGCAGGGGGACCTCGCAGGGTGGCATCTCACCCGGCACCTGGCGCCCCTGCCCCAGCTGGGGGGGTCTCAGAGGTGCTACGTGGGCATGGGTGGGCACCCAAGGGTGGGCAATGGGTAAGTGACACCCTAAGGTGCTGCATGGCTGGGCATGGTTGGTGGAGCACTTGGTTGAGCCATGGGCATGTGCGGCCCTGCCGCGCCGTGCCGTGCCATGCCACGTCGTGCCGTGCCCACCCGCCACGGCTGCGGCAGAGCAGCCGGCGTCCCGCCTCGGCAGCGCGCCTTGCACACACAGCACTTTAAATGTTTTATTTGGGGAAAGTGCTGTCGTTAGCAGGGATTAATTATTAAAATCAGAGCCATCTATAAAACATGAGTGGCCGCGCGCAGGGCTGCGGGCGCACAGGCAGAGCCAGGCATGGTCCCGCTGCCGGCAGCGCCCGGGGACGTGCTGCGACGGCGTTTGCCGGTGCTGCCGCAATGGCACCTCGCACTGGTGGCGGTTTTGGGCTCCTCATGGCAAAGCGGGTGCAAAGACCGGGTGCAGGCAGCGGGTGCCACCCAGGTGGGCAGCCTGCCCCGCTTTTACCTCGCCGCGGCCCACCGGGCAGCCCGGGGTGGGGGCTGGATTGGAGATGGGCAAAATTGTGCCAAATCAGCGTTTGAGCGAAGCAGTGGTCTCTGGCGTCAGCCGGCCCGGCAAGAGGTGGCAGGAGGCAGCAGGCAGCGCCGAGCTGTTTTTAGCGGCTGCCGGCGTGCTGGGGAGCGGGCGTGAAGAGCGGCTGCCGCGGCACCGCGGTGCCATTTTTAGAAACCGGCAAGTTTTGCTAATGATGCCTGCGAGCGGTGGGGGGAGGCTGCCCGTACCCCGGCCCCCGCTGCCTGCACCCCGGGCAGGCTGCGTGTCCGGCCCCGGCGGCCAGCCCTGTCCCTCTGTCCTCCCCACCTGGTTCTGGCACCCGTATCTGGGGGGCACCCACACTGCCCGCGGCACCCCTGCACCCATCTGGGGCTCTGCTGGCCCCCGGGGAGCTTTGGTGGACCCTGGGGATCTCTGCTGGTCTCTGAGGAGTTTCAGTGGTCTGTGGGGATCTCTGCTGGTCCCTGGGGAGCTTTGGTGGCCTCCAGGGAGCTCTGCTGGCCCCCAAGCAGCTTTTCTTTACCCTGAAGCCTTCCAGCCTATAAGGCACATCTTTTTCTCCTTTTTCTGCCCCCGAGACAGCATCCGCCCTTGGCTGGGGAGACTCGCCCCATCTTGGCGCCCAGTCAGGACCTGTGCCAGCCACGTCCCGGTCTCAGTCCTGGTCCTGGTCCTGGTCCCAGTCCTCTCGCTGGGGGCCAGTTCTCTCCTAGTGAGGAGCCCCACTCGATTTGCACATGAAACTCCTCGCCCTGCGCAGCCTCCCCATGCCCTCGTCCCTGTGGCCGCAGGTACTGCCCCAGGGAGACTCAGGGGACCCCCAAAGGTCTTCCAGTGGGAAGGGGAACCAAACCCCCATGCAATGGATGATGTCACCACTGTGATGCAGGCAGTTGCTATGGTGATTGACCCCACACACACCAGGCAGGGCTCCAGGGACCAGAGCCAGCCCTGGATGCAATGGGGACCAAGCCGGTGGAGAGGTACAAGGCTTTGTGTGCCGTCGTCATCGACACGGGGACGGGCCACACCAGGAGCGGGCTGGCCGGGGACGAGCAGCCGCGGTCGGTGGTGCCCAGCCGGGCGGGGGGCAGCCCCGTCCTCACCCACGGCGTGGTCACCGACTGGGACGGGCTGGAGGAGCTGTGGCACCGAATCCTCTACCAGGAGCTGGGCGTCTGCCCCGAGGAGGTGGCGGTGCTGGCCACGGACGCCCCGCTCTCTCCCATCGCCAACCGGGAGAAGGTGGCCGAGCTACTCTTCGAGGGCTTCGGGGTGCCGGCCATGCTGGTGCTGCCCCGCTCCCTGCTCGCCGCCTACTCCTACGGCCACACCGCCGGCGTGGTGGTGGGCTCCGGTGCCGGCACCTCCTACGCGGCGGGGGTGCGGGAGGGCTACGCACTGCCCCACGCCACCTTCCGCCTCGACGTGGCCGGGGACGCCCTCACCCTCTACCTGGGCCGGCTGCTGGGGTCCCGCGGGGTCCACCTCGACGCCGACCCCCTGCGCCGCTTGAAGGAGACCTGCTGCTGTGCCCTGCCGGGGGCCGGGGGGGCCCAGCCCCTCACCCCCCCCGGCACCTCAGGGCTGCTCCTGGGGGACGAG